CCAGAAACTTTTTCATCTTTTTCTTCTAGGATTTCTCACAATTGGCCCCTCTAAATATTGAGATCTCTGTCTATTATCCAGAAACGACAAAAACAAAACCTTTTGAAAGTTCTAGAAGGTGGTGGAGGTGCTGGGCTGGTAGCTACTTTTGTTAGATTCTTAAGATTTCTAAGAAGTCTTAGTCAAGAAATGGAAAGAGAGCCCAGGGACCTGCAGACTCCACTATGTGTGAAAGCCCCATCAGTCCCCTGCACAAATTCTAATTCGGCCCCACTACTACCTCACAACCCCTGTTCCTCCAAGTGTTCTTCGGAATTAGTATCCGTAAAAAGTGGTGACAGTGCCATGTCCTCAGCCAGAGTATAGTCTAATCATCATGACAATAGTCCCAAAGAATTGCTCTTTGGATACTGACAAATACAGTGATTAAGGGTTTGGAGTATGAGATATGAAGAAGAAAAAATAGATTTTGGACAATTTAGGGGATAATTCTCATTCCTAGTGAGATGATTCTTTTTTCCTACTGTGGAAATCTTTGAGAGTGCATTAAACAAAACTGATAAGTTGTCTATTCAGTCCAATTCAATTTTATACAAACTTATTAAGTGCTTACTCCATGAGAGGTAGATACTAGTAATATAAAGATAAAAACTAGATGGTCTCTGTCCTCAAGGTGCTAACAGTTTAATTGAGGGGAGGGATGCGTTCACAGACAAATAAATATGTTAGATTAAGAAAGTAGAGACCACTAGACTTAAAGAAGTGGCATCTGAACTGGGGGTGGAAAGAAAAGAATGATTCTGATAATAGGCAATAAGTAGAAATGATGATTAATTTCTTAGAATACTTTATGTCTATCTCATTCATATCATTGTAGGCTAAAAGTAAGTTCAAGTATCTTATCTGAATTGTCCCTCATGACATAATTTTTACTTTGGGCAAAATTAGGTACAATATGGGATGCTGCTACATAGCTAACTGCAATACATTTTTAACATTCCAGTGTTAAAGATCTCACTTTCAGAATTCTTAAAATGTCTAACAGCTGTCTTTTCTGCCACAAGAAATTTCTCTTCTACATTACAGTAAAATGCAAATGTTGGGGGTAAGGGCCAGGGGAGGATTTCTGCAGGAGGAAATTTGGGGAAAAAGAAAATTGACATTTATGTTTTTCTTTAAAATTTGCAAAGCACTTTACACAATAATTTCATTAAGATCATCACAGCCCCTCATTTTACAGCTAAAGAAACTGAGGCTCAGCAAGGTTAAGTGGATACTACCACCAGCCTGTTGAGGTAACTACATCAAATAATATAGGTCTTATTAAGTAATTAATGAGTATGACTCATGTTTTACAGATAAGGAGACAGAGGGATTAACTAACCTGCCCAAGGTTACAAAGCTAGTGTCTGATGTAGGGTTCACTCCTAGGTCTTCCTATCAGTGGACAGAGAACCAGTACTGGAGTGAGGAAGATCCTCAATCAAATCCTTCCTCAGACACTTATTAGCTGTAAAAACCCTGGGCAGGTCACTTAATTTCTGTTTGTCTCAGTTTCTTCATCTGTAAAATGAGGATAATAATGACACCTACATCCCAGGATTGTCAAAGAGCAAATGAAATTATAATTGCAAAGCTCTTAGGATAGTACCAGATACAAAGTAAGCACTATAGCAGTGTTAGCTTTTATTTTTGTTGCCTTTCAGAGTCAGGAAATATGCCATTCTTGATTTACTAGATATTTTACTGACTCTCTGAGACTTCTAAGAGATCTGTTTTCACACTGAGTAAAACACTCAGGGAATGTGCTTTAGGGAGGCAGCATGTCATAATAAAGAGAGTCAGACTCAGAATTAGGAAATTGCCCTAGACACTTGTTAGCTATATGATCCTAGGCAAGTTTGTTTACCTTCTCTCAAAAGATTCTCCATCTGCAAAATGGGGATATTATCACAGAGTTGTTGGAAGGCAGAATACATAAAAGACTTGGCAAACTTTAAATGTTTTGTATGAATACCAGCTGTTAATACTGTTAATTCCCTCCTACTGGATGTTCATAAAGTCTCTTCAATAGACTACATTTAATTATCTAGTTTAAATAGTATCTAATACAGTGGTCATACCTTATGTACATCAACATAACTGTTAATGCTAATATTTACTCAATACTATGCAAACAAGTATTACTTAACCATTTAAAACAACGAAGGCTAAGTGCCAGGATAACGTTTCAATAATTCCCTATTCGTCTGATTTTCCAAATTACCTTCTACAAAAATACACTAGGATATAAGATATGCCAATTGAGTTCTTAATTCCAACTCTTTCACTAATTAGCTGTATGACCTTGGGCAAGTCACTTCAATTCCCCAAACTATAGTTTCATCACCTACAAAATCAAAGGAGCTGCTTAAACTGGATGATTTTATGATCCCTTCCATCTCACAAATTCTGGGATGTGCAAACTCTTCTGAAATATAAGAAGTGGAGTACAAAAATCTAAATATTATACTCATAGATATTATTTCCAGGGCTACTTTTCAAAACTGGAGAGTTTTTTTTTTAAAAAGATTTAGAATGCCTTTATCTTTGACCTACTTTTTTAAATCTATGAAACCACGATGTGTGAACTAAATATACAATTAACCCCCAAATGAAAACTTAGCATTATAAAATAAACAAGAAGGATAAATCACAGTGTATGACTTCACACTTCCTTTCCAGAAATTCAGCCTTAGCTTCTTTGTGATCATGATTTGATACTTATGCCATTTTTTATTCATTATTCAGTAGGAACCTCACTAATTTGAGCTAATTATAGAGGACGGTCAGAATTAAAGGAGACTTTTAAAGAAATGAAACTTTTATTACTTTCAAGCATTTACAATAACAGAAACTACCAAACAAGTGATGGCAAGTATAAGTACTGCTGGATTCACTTTAAGGGAGAAATGATTTCATTATCATTTAACACATTAATCATCTCCTGGACATAAAAATCACTAAGGTATTTCAAGGCAGTTTGTCTTTTCCTTCATTGAGCATTTACTTAGAAATTACACTACAGAATTGCTTACCAAATTTTTTCTTATCATATGATGCAAATGTAAAAGTTAGCACCTCCACCTTCCAGATGAACTATATGTTGTTGTTGCTCAGTCATTCAGTCATTTCCAACTCTCTATGACCCCACAGATTTTTGTCCACAAAAGAAAACTATGGGGTTTTCTTGGCAAAGATGCTGGAGTGGTTTGCCATTTCCTTCTCCAAATTATTACAAATCTATTAAACTTTCCAAATTAATGAAGTGCCCTGCCCCCCAAAAAAGAATTACAAGAAAAGGAATTTCCTATGTAGACCTCTAACAAATTCTCCATTTATGTCTTAAAGGCAGCCAGGGAATATCAAAGGCAGAGAGGCAGAAGTGAATTCCAGGCGTGAGGGACAGCCCATGTCAATGCACACAGAGAATAGATGGTGAATACTATGTACAGAACAGTAAGCAGGACAGTTGGCCCAGGTCCCAGGGCGGGAGGAGGGGAATAAAGGGTAAAAAAGACTGGAAAGGGAGGAGGAGAACAGGGTGTAAAGAGCTCTGAATGTCCACAAAGGCGTTTATATTTCATCATCAAGACAATAGGGGGCAACTGGAGTTTGACAATTTGTTTTCCATGTACCTTCTTTGGTAAGCAAATCCACCTCCCATCTGAGGTACACAAAAAATAAATAAAAGTTAACAAATTCTAATCAGTTCCATTATACGTATGCATTGTACATGTGTGAATATACGTTTTATATGTATATACAGATTACATACACATACTATACATATGCACATAGATATTAATGTAGATATATGGACATAGTAGTATGTGTGCTTACATATGCTTATGAATGTATTTTATGCTTAGAAACACATATATGCACATATACACATAAGAGTCAAGAAGATCTGATTTCAAATGTAACCTCAGACACTTATTGTGTGATCCTAGACAAGTCTCTTAACCTCTGTTTGCCTCAGTTTACTCATTCGTAAAATGGGGATTATAATAGCATCTACTTTGCAGTGTTGTTGGGGGTATCAAATGAGAAAATGATTATAAAGCACCCAGTCCAGTGTTGGCTCATAGTAGGCATGTATGAATATTAACTATTATTATTGTTGGTTTTTGTCATTATATACACATATCTAGTGTATGGCATGGATATGTATATATACTCATGCATATATCTATATCTATTTGTATCTATATATGTATGTATACCTATACATATTATTTATATACATATATATACTCATGTACATATTTGTATTTATGCATATTTATTTTACAGCTATACAGCTGCATCGGTACAAGTATATATACATATATTTAACTGATAGATACACACATATATGTGATGCTCTATGTATGTATATATAACTATATATTCATGTATGCACATACATATACCGAATACTTGTTCAACATAAGGACAATAACCAGAAAGATTGAGATACCCAAACTATAGCTCCTCAAAGAAAAAATTTATTTGAAAATCAACAACATAATTAGGTGGAAAATGTGAATGAACAAATAGAATTAGAATAACCCTGACATACATTCATATGTTTGTTTATTTCTAATATGCTTCTTTATTACTCAAAAGTGATATTGACATAAGCATAGATGTACCAGGAACAAAGGGGAAACATGACTTTAAAATAGCTAATATTTAAGATTAAAAAAAATTAAATCCTTATAATGCAAGAATTTATTACTTAACCAATATATACAATTACATCTGTCTAGATCTGTCAGATTCAAGGAAACTGTATGTTCTTTTTATATATAGTAATAAGAACAATAGTTGACAATTATATTGTGTTTTAAGACTTACAACGTGCTTTCCCCATACTAATCCTATGAAGTAACTAGTGATATTATCTCTATTTTGTACATGAGAAAGTGAATGTAAACATTAAAGGAAACACTGTAACTAGAGGCTTTGCTTACCATGTAGAGGCTTTGGTTGAAATACATTCCCACATCATAAAAGTTTCCATCGTGACTGATGGGTCGTGTTCCGTTTCTTGATTGTTCTGGTTTTGACCAATGAAGAGCACAATTTCCAAGTCGGTTGAGTAAAGAAACCTGAAGGAAGTAGGAGCCTTTAGGCACCTTGTCTTTGATTCCTCTCAAGCATTTTAATTGGATTTGAATATGGTGAGGTTTCTGGGATCTCTCATCCTAAATAAAAGACTAAGTTATTGAATTTTGCAGCAGTTGAATCTGACCACACATTAAATTACTCAAAAAGTAATAACAAAAAGTCAACAATGTATTTTTTCTACCTCTAATTCTGTCATTAGCACCGATAAGCAATGAAGACACTTGGTATATAATTAAGAAGTCCAAAGGCATACTTGTAGATTACAGGTAAAGGAAAAAGTTTCTTTTTTTTTAGCTTATATTCTAACAAACCCAGACTGCAAAAGTCATCAGTTTGTTCTAAGACGGAATTCTCAGGAAATCAACACTTCTTTAAAAAAACAACAACAACAACAAACCAGTCTACCTTCAAAGACATGGATGATGGGTGGCATGACTACTAAGCTTCAGGCACATAGTTGGAAACATGGCAGCCATAGCCCATTACAATAATTATAAGTCCTGCCAAGGTGATTAGTGCTTATAGTACAGGGCAAATTTGTACCTCACCTTATCAGATAATTTAATATTCTTCTAAAAATGCAGCAGTCGATATGCCCCATAGGGATCAAGGGGGAGAGTGGGAGGAGGGAAAACATTTGTATGTGCCTGAGACAAAAGCTTGTAAGCACAAAATGCTATACGTGAAACATATGTATCAAAATATACTTTATTGGATATTTGAGCTACTCTGTTAATGTTTTGCGGAGACAAATAGGCCATAATTGCATTTGTGAGAGAGGTATACAAATAGATGAAGCTTTTATTAGACTAATATTGTTGTAGATAATCAAACCAAAACTCATTTGAGACTGTAAAATTACCCAGATGTCTTTAAATCACATTTTCTACATTTAATCCTTCCACAATGACATGACCTGAAAGAATCCCTCTATCACTTCATGCTTTTAATATGAGCCAAAATATTTCACTTGGGAAATAAGATTTCTCCCTTGACCACTACAGCTAGCAACTCTACCCGTTAACCTACAGCAGACAATAATCTCTCTTTTTAATCCTGCCTAGGATATATTTCGGAAGAGATAATATGCATTTCCATATAGATAGAGGGCTTCTGGAATTAAATCAAGGAGTTCAGTAAACAGTTAAAGTTGTTAAACTTCTTTTGTTTTTCATGCAAACTATACTTAACAACTAATCAGAATGACAATTATTTTCTGTTTAATTAGAAAAACTTAATTAACAATGAAGACTTAACCTTGATTCCAAAGACTTAACCTGGTTTCCAAAGTATATATAAAAAAAAATTAACATCATGTGAATAAATAAGACAATCTTTTTAAACCTCAAGGCAGGATTACTGATGCAGGCAGACTTAGTTATTAAACACATTCTAAATTAAACGCCTCTATGAATTTTATACTGAAATATATTTTGATAGTTTTGCATGCCAAATGTGACATTTTGTATTTGAGATTCATCTTCTGCAGTAATTTTGGAAATGTCATACAAACAAAGATTTTGTCATTTACCAATGGAATTACTATGCATGGCCGGTTAGCCATCTCTTTTCTGGCTCTTCTGGTTGCTTCAAGTCAGCAAGCCATAAAAAATCTTTATCTCTCTGAAACACAGCAATTTGGAAGATAATGGAATGGTGACTGGGGGGCAGAAACGCCAGTCTGAGGAATTATACCACAATCTCTCTTGCATTTACAACCTTCCTCAAAGCGAGTGTCAGTTGAGGAGGGAAAGGAGACAGAAGATTCATCACATCTCAAGCCTTGTCTCATTTGCATGGTGGCATGGCTGTCTCCTTGCTCCTGCAAGACTTCTCTTGGATAGCACTGACAAACTCTTGGGAAGAACTCTAGTCCTAATGGCTTTAGACATTCTGCTTAAGCATATTGTTCTACCAAGATGGGGGGGAGGGGGAAGAAACAACCTATCTTAAGATATGCTAAAATCATCTGTACAAAAGCTGCAAAGGGGTTGGGAATTGGGAGGAGAAATAACGATGCACAAGCCAATCAATACAATTGATCTCATCTTTATCATTTCGTATCAGAGGAAAAAAGACCAGTTGTAGAGAGCCTCACCTTGCAGCAAAGTCCCGTCATTTTCTTTGAGTCAGTAGGCACATCCGTGGGATTGCCAAAAGTGGCTACAATTTCCTTTTGACCAATGTCCATTAGTTGACTTATTGCTCTGCATCAGTTAGAGAGAAGAGGTGGGGAGGAGTGAAAACTTGACAGCATAGTGCAATGCAAAGTGTTTGCCTTGGGAGCTACAGTACGATTTAATATTTTCCTTAAATGTGTTATCAGACTAGCTGGGAACCAGACTCACACATCACTCTGGGACTGTTGTTTATTGACATCCAAGAAGTGAATTGGAGGCAAGCAGCACAAAGCATTAAGTACAAGCATCAGCTTAACTATAGGACTAAGGCTTGCTGCTTGATGGCTTCCCATGGTATCATGGAGCCCAATGCTTTTGGAAATAACTCAGATGATTCTTTGGGATTTTCACTCAAATTTACCAGAAAGTAGAGTACTTAGAATCATAAAAGATTAGAGCTGAAAGGCTCTTAAAACTCATCCAGTCCAATATGCTTATATTACAGGTGAGGAAAGTAACTTGTCCAAAGTCATGCAGACAGCAAGTGGCAGGAAACACTTCTTTTCACCAATTTGCAAGCAACCTCTATTTTTTTTAAAACTTCTTTCGACCACATCTGTGAACAAAATCCACTTATCAGTGCAGATCATCACCTGTTCTGTAACTTATGAATGCTACCTGGGGCACTGAGAGGTGGTGACTTATGAGGGGGTCACAAAGGCACCATGTGTCAGAAGTGGGCCTTAAGCCAGGCTTTTCTGACTCTAAAGTTGCCTTTCTATCTACGTAGCCATGTGGCTTCATTTGAATCATTAAGGTCAGTTAACGGGGCATTTGAAAATAATCACTTAAATGATAAGTTGCCCAAACTTTTCTCTTAATGTAATGGCCAGGGTATAAGATTGATTCTTTACTCTCCCCATATCATCTGGGCTCATCTTCTTCAGTTACCATTTACTAGCTTTACCCAAGGTCCTTTCTTATTGTTTTGTTCCATGGTGGGTTTTTTGTCCATTTGTTTGTTTTAAGCCACTAGAAAGTCATGACAACTTTAAGCTGATTCCCCAAATTCATTTGAATTAAGAAAGAGCTCACATTTCACTGCTTCTGAACTTAAGCTTAATGCTAACAACAGAGCCATCTGTGACAATGACTGTTCTTCCACCAGAGGAATGGCCTGTTCAAGTCTTTGAGCTCATTTAGTTTCCTGTGATGGAAATGATTTCGCTTAATTTGGTTAGAGCTACACTGACACAAGGGTTCATTAGGACACCCATTTGCTTGCAATTCAATTTCAAATTAAATACACTTTGTTGTAAATTTTATTACTTTTAAACTACTGTATCTATTGCCTTTAATGGCCACTAATACACAGTTATGAAGGTAAACAGATTTCATTACTGAGCATCTAACATTTTAAGTAAACACAATGAGGGTTGTGTGTGTGTGTGTGTGTGTGTGTGTGTGTGTGTGTGTGTGTGTGTGTGTGTGGTTTTTTGGAGTTTCTTTCAACAATTTCTATGAAATAATTCCATAGCTACTAGCAAAATGTCCTGAGCACTCATTTCATGTAATTTGACATTAGCTATCCTGGGGAAAACTTGAGCCTGAAAGCTCAGATTCCTCAGTCACAATCTCAGTTTTCCCATGTAACTTAAGGACAACTTGACTTTGTTCAACCTGAAGCATATTACTGAGGCAGCAGACATCAGATGTGTCATGCCAAGGGATATGGAGGCTGACACTGGCCCCTCTCTATTATGGGGCTACCTTAAGCAGAGAATGCCTACTGACATAGTCACAAATAAAGCCTAAACCAGGGGTCGGAGACCTGTGGCCTTGAGACCACCTGTGGTCTGCTAGGTCTTTGGGTGTGGTCTTTTGACTGAACAGATTTTACAGAACAGATACCTTTATTAAGGGAATTTGTTCTAGGAAGTTTATCTTAAGAAGTTTGAGACATTAAATCCAGAAGAAAAATCTATGATGACTAAATCCAGAAGAATAATCTGTCATGACTCACTCCCAAGTACCTTGAGAGACTGCATTGTGCAGTAACAGCAGAATGCCATGTACTAATAGTAATAATAAATATAGATAGATAGTATTTGCATAGTACTTTATGGTTTGTATAGAATTTTACAACTATTATCTCATTTTATTCTTGCAACAAACCTAGGAGCTAACTGCTATTAGTATTGTCATTTTACAGATGAGAAAACTGAGGCTCAGTGCCTGGCATATAGTTTTTGTTGTTTACTCATTTCAGTTGTTTTCAAGTATTCATGACACCATTTGGTGTTTTCTTGGCAAAGATACTGGAGTGATTTGCCATTTCCTTTTCCAGTTCACTTTACAGATTAGAAAAGTGAGGCAAACAGAGGCAAGTGACTTGCCCAGGGTCACACAGCTAGTAAGTGTCTGAGGCCAGATTTGAACTCAGATCTTTCTGACTGGAGACCCAGAACTCTATCCACTGTGTCAACTAGATGTTCTCAGGCATATAGTAGGCATCTAATAAATGTTTATTGGATTGAATTGAGGAAGTCAGAGGTTAAGAGACTTGGTCAAGGTTGCATAGATAATAAGTATCAGAGGTAGCATTTGAACTCCGATATTCCTGATTCAATCCATTGAGCCTCCTAGTTATTCTTTCAGGAACTAGTACATGTCCTTGTTTACTGCTGCTGCTGCTTCTGCTGCTGCTGCTGATGATGATGATGGTGGTGGTGATGGTGATGGTGATGGTGATAATGATGATGATTAAGATGAGGATGATGAAGAGAAAGATGATTATGTTCTGATAATTATATAGCATTTAGATTTCACAAAGCTCAGTACATGCTTCTTCAAAGTTGAGCCTCTTGACAATGATGTAAGGTATCTATTAGACTTTGAGCTCCTTGAGGGCAAGAACTATTGCCTTTCTTTGTTTCCCCAGTGTTAGCTTAGTGCAGGGCACATAGTGAGTACTTAATAAATGCTTTTTAATTGACTATCATTGTAGACATTACTATCCTTATTTTATACATATGGAAACTGAGGAGTCAGAAAAGTTAAGTGAGATCTGTCCATAGCATACAGCTGGCAAGTATGAAGTGGGATCTGGACTGGGTATTCTTGACTCTAAGTTCAGGGTCAGTTCCCACTGTGCCTTCTTAAACATGATATCCTGGGAGGCATTGGTAGTGTTATGTAATTATGACCAAGGCAATTTAAGCATACAGTAGAAACCATGCTACAAAAGTTTCTTCACAGAACAAAAGATTCATTATATATCCTGAAATAGAACCAAGTCTCATCTCTCAGTCACCACCCATCTACCAGGGCAGGCCCTCTCTGTCAGGAATGAAGCTAAAGTTCTGAGAACTGAGAAACAGTTACCACCATAGCCCATAGGAAGAGCTCAGATAGAGTGCTGAGCTCACTATATTGGGCTGCATTCAGTCTATAGAATTTTTTTTTAATTTAAAAAGCAATATGACCCACATTAAACTACCTTGGATATGACATGTGAATGCTTTCTTGAAGAACTTCTTCCTTCTCACATTTAGTATCCTGCAAGAAAGAGAATATAAATACAAAATAAATTCAAAGGCTACTTTAAACATCTATTTGAAAGTAAGCATAGTTTTAAAAATTCTGAGATACATTTATTTTCCACTGAGACAAATATTAATCATTCAGAGATCATATAGAACATGTACAGATGGTCTAAATATCTATCTTATGCTATGTCACTTCTTACACAGGTAAGAAAATTACCTGTGAGATGATGCACTTAATCTTCCTGTCTAAAAGAGGATAATATTTAATATAGAGTCTGGAAGTATATTTAATATGTAAATCAAATGTTTGGTCAATTAACTGAGCCCAGTTAATACCTATTACCCCACCTATGGTTTAAAAAAAAATAATACCAGTTTATTTAACTGCATTGGTATAATAAAGAGTGAGAGAACAAAGAAGCAATAAGGATTATGCCATGGTTCATACCATAATCCTTATCTGCGATGCTCTCCCTTCTCCCCTATGCCTATCTTAAGTTAATAATACATCATTCAAGATCCAACCCAAGTCTCATGCCCTCCATTAGGCTATCCTCAACAACTAAGGCCATCATCATTTCCTCCTTCACTAGTATCCTAAAGCATCTATATACCACATAGAGTAATTTAATTATATAGCATAAATATGTATATATACATATTTCTCAAACATACATATATACATATATATATCGATTTCTTGGACTATTAAAATTGGTCAAGCTTATCTCAAGTTGGTTTTTGTCTGTTTTTAGAGAAATATGCAAAGTTGCTTTCAATACTTTAGGTTTCTTGGACATGTAATACACTGTCAGTTCTTAAGAGCCTTAGAGGGGCTCAGTGATGAATTTAGTCCTATACTCCTTGATGAGAATAATCACTGACAGCACTGGTCAACTTAGAATCATAGTTTTTTGAGGTGAAAATGACATTAGAGATCATGTAGTCCAATTTCTTCTTTCCAAAAGCTGAGATGAGAACTGAGGCTCATAAAGGTGGAGATTTGCCCAAACTCATGCAACTAATTATCATAGTCAAAAGTAGACCCTAGATACAAATATGGTGTTGATACCTAAACCAGGAAGAGTCAAAATAGAGAAAGAAAATTATAGACCAATTTCTCTAATGAATATAGATGCAAAAAATTTAAACAAAATATTAGCAAGTAGATTACAGAAACTTATCACAAGAATAATACACTATGACCAGGTAGGATTTATACCAGGAATGCAGGGTTGGTTCAATATTAGGAAAACTATCAGCATCATTGAGCATATCAGCAACAAAACCAACAGAAACCACATGATCATCTCAATAGATGCAGAAAAAGCTTTTGATAAAATACAACACCCATTCCTATTAAAACACTAGAAAGCATAGGTATAAATGGAGTCTTCCTTAAAATAATAAATAGCATCTATCTAAAACCTTCAGCAAGCATTATATGTAATGGGGACAGGCTAGAAGCATTTCCAATAAGATCAGGGGTGAAACAAGGATGTCCATTATCACCACTGTTATTCAATATTGTACTGGAAACCTTAGCTTTAGCAATAAGAGAAGAAAAAGAAATTGAAGGCATTAGAATAGGCAAAGAAGAAACAAAGCTATCACTCTTTGCAGATGACATGATGATATACTTAGAGAATCCTAGAGAATCAAGTAAAAAACTACTTGAAATAATAAACAACTTTAGCAAAGTTGCAGGCTATAAAATAAACCCACATAAATCATCAGCATTTCTATATATTACCAACAAAGCCCAACAGCAAGAGATAGAAAGAGAAATCCCATTTAAACTTACTGTAGACATTATAAAATATTTAGGAGTCTACCTCCGAAACAAACCCAGGAACTCTATGAACACAATTACAAAACACTTTTCACACAAATAAAATCAGATCTAAATAATTGGAAAAACATCAGTTGCTCATGAGTAGGCCGAGCTAATATAATAAAAATGACAATCCTACCTAAGCTAATTTACTTATTCAGTGCCATACCAATCAAACTACCAAAAATTATTTTATAGAGTTAGAAAAAATAATAACAAGATTCATTTGGAAAAACAAAAGGTCCAGAATATCAAAGGAACTAATGAAAAGAAATGCAGGGGAAGGTGGCCTAGCAATTCCAGATCTTAAATTGTATTATAAAGCAGCAATCATCAAAACTGCTTGGTACTGGCTAAGAAATAGGGAGGTGGATCAGTGGAATAGGTTAAATATGCAAGACACAGTAGTCAATGACTATAGTAATCTATTATTTGATAAACCCAAAGACCCCAGCTTCTGGGATAAGAACCCACTCTTTGAAAAAAACTGCTGGGAAAACTGGAAAAGAGTATGGCAGAAACTAGGCATAGACCCAAATCTCACACCATATACCAAAATAAAGTCAAAATGGGTTCAGACTTAGATATAAAGGCTGATACCATAAGTAAACTGGGAGAACAAGGAATAGTTTACCTATCAGATCTATGGAGAACAGAAGAATTCATGACCAAACAGGAGATAGAGAACATTATGAAAAGCAAAATGGATAATTTTGATTACATTAAATTGAAAAGTTTTTGCACAAACAAAGCCAATGCAACTAAGATTAGAAGGAAGGTAGAAAATTGGGAAAGAATTTTTACAACCAGTCTTCTGATAAAGGCCTCATTTCTAAAATATATAGAGAATTAAGACAAATTTATAAGAACACAAGCCATTCCCCAATTGATAAATGGTCAAAGGATATGAACAGACAGTTCTCAGATGAAGAAATTAAAGCCATCTATAGTCATATGAAAAAATGCTCTAAATCATTATTGATTAGAGAAATGCAAATCAAAAGAACTCTGAGGTACCACATCACACCTATCAGATTGGCCAACATGACAAAACAGGAAAATGATAAATGTTGGAGAGGATGTGGGAAAATTGGAACTCCAGTACATTGTTGGTGGAGTTGTGAAATGATCCAACCATTTTGGAGAACAATTTGGAACTATGCCCAAAGGGCTATAAAAATGTGCATACCCTTTGATCCAGCAATAGCACTTCTAGGGCTATATCCCAAAGAGATCAAACAAATGGGAAAAGGACCCACATGTACAAAAATATACATAGCAGCTCTTTTTGTGGTGGCAAAGAATTGGAAATTGAGAGGATGCCCATCAATTGGGGAATGGCTGAGCAAGTTGTGGTATATGAATGTAATGGAATACTATTGTGCTATAGGAAATGATGAACAGGCTGACTTCAGAAAAACCTGGGAAGACTTATATGGCCTGATGCTGAGTGAAGTGAGCAGAAACAAGAGGACTTTGTACACAATAGCAGCCATGTTATACAATGACTAGGGATGTTAAACTGAACCCTTCTCAGCATTATGAGGATCTAAGACATCTCCAGAGGCCTCGGGATGGAAAATGCTGTCCACATCCAAAGAAAGAACTATGGAAGTCGAATCGCTCTCACTTATTTTTACCTTCTTTTGAGTTTTGTGTCATCTTTCTGATGGTCCTCCTATTGGTTTCAATTTTTACTTACAACTTCACTAATGTGAAAATATGTTTAATGGGTATGTAAAGCCTATGTCAGATTGTGCACCGTCTTGGGGGGGGAGAAAAAGGGAGAAAATTTTTCAACTCAAAAGCATATGGGAAAAAAAATTTAAAAAAAAGAGATAACGCTCCAAAAAAAATAAATAAATAAATAAAGTGAAGTGTCCCATTGAAAAAAAAAAGGGTCAGTGGCTGGGCCCAGGCCACTGACAATTAGAGAAAAGAAAGCAGAGCCAACAGAAATGTGGCTTATAATAAAAACTCCTCCAAGATAAAAAAAAAAAGAGTAGACCCTAGATTATCCACTTAGCTATCCAATGATTTTCACTTTCATCTCCATATCACACTGCTATAACTTCTCTCTTGATCCAAAAATGAGTAGGGCAAAAGAATCCTTTTAAAGTTCAGTTTTTAACAAAGATGGATTCGATCTTACATCAAATTCAGATCTGTTGTAGAAGCAAGACAAAACAAACAGCAAAAGGTCCCATATATATAAAACATATTTATAGCAACAATTTTGTCATATAATAGAACTAGAAACAGAGTGAATGCCTATTGGATGAGAAGTGGATAAACAAATCATGTATATGAATACAATCATAATCAAATATTATTAGCAAAATGTATTGAAAAGCAAAATTCAACAATATATTGTTTACAAGAAATACACTTGAAACACTGAAACTCACAAAGAGTTAAAATAAGGGGTTGCAGAAAAATGCCTCAGTAGAACACAAAAAATCAGGGGTAGCAATTGTGATTTCAGAAAAGGCAATACCAAAAGTAAATTTAATTAAAAGAGATAAAGGTATAAAAGTACATTTTGCTGAAAGGCAACATAAATGACGAATTGATTTAAATACCTAATGTCTATTCACATAAAAACATAGTTTTCTATGTACTTAAAGGCAAAACCAAATTAATTAAAAGGGGAAGTAGACAATAAAACATAAGGTGGAACTTCAATAAGGACCTATCAATCTGAGAAAAATCTAATTTTAAAAATAACAAAGAAAGAAGTTAATAAAATTAAGTTAATAGAATAGAATTTTAGTAAAATTAGATATGAAAAACCTATTGATTATTGAATGGAAACAAAAAGGAGTGTGCATGTTTCCAAGTTTAATGGCACCTTTACAAAAATTAAAAATGGCTTGGGCAAAAAAAAAACACCTTACAAACAAATGAAGAAAAACAGAAATGTTAAATGTACATTTAACTGACATAAAATAAAGTTATATTAAATAAAAGAACTTTGGAAAAATACTGAAAATCAACTGGAAACTAAATATTTTTATAGGAAAGAATTGATGGTTCAAAGAAAAAATCATGAAATAATACTTAATTTCAAACAAGACAATGACAACATGAGGAAATGTAAGAATGTTGAGGATGTAGCCAAATCAACCTCTGAAGGAAAACTTATATTTCCATAAACATTTTTAATAATAAAAAAA